GCTGCTTACAACCTTTGAAGAGTGCCTTTAGCTTTGTTTACAGGCCTCCTTACTGGAAGTAAAGTGGCATGCTAGATATTCCTTGTTGCTATGAAGACAGATTTTGTTTAGGAGACCAGGTAATCTCAGTCTGTTTCACAGATGACAGGACACACAGATTTTATATAGGCTTTCACTGGAGGACTTGATTTAACACCTGATTAATCAATAGGACTCTTTAGTCTGACTTCAAGGTGTTTTGGCCTTACAATTCAAATAGTTCATTAAAACAGAGTCATATTAATCCATAGTGTAACTCTCTTGAAGTCAACAGATTTAAATGAGGAATTAATTTGCATGTCACTATGACATGGTACATTTTTAAACAAGTGTATAACATTGCATTATTTTAAAATGATTTCTTGTGGCTTTAGAAACCCGTCCCTGAAAAATGGGGAGGAAGGCTTCTGCTGATCAAACACAGCTAGGATGAACTCTTTGATTACAAAAGGAATCAGAAATGATCTCTGAGCTAAAGTCATGGGCTAAGTACAGACAGTCACAAAGTCTGAGGCTGAATCGATTCAGTCTTTGCAGGTCAGTCTAAGCTGCAGATATTAAACTGAGACAACTGGACACACATTTACTTTTGATTCAGGAAATGCAGCCACATGTCTGCAGTGGCTCAGGCCAGAAGCCCAGGGGGCGCTACAGCATGGCTCTCTGGCATGTAGCCAGAATGGGCTATGTGTTCGCTTCCTCTTCCTGCTGCCCCTGAGGTCTCTGGGATTTGCAGTCCAGACTCACAGCAACAGGACTCTTCCTGCTTCCAGGAACAGGCAGGGGCTGCTTCCAGGTACCTCTGTGATTTGTAGTCCACAGTCACAGCCAGCAATACATTTGAGCGGGGAAGAGGTGTTTAGCGCCCCCCTCCCTGGCCCCAGTCCCCAGCCAGGGTTTGCCTGGCTGGGTGCGGGGGAGGGAAGGGCAGTCCCTGCCTCCCTCCCCCAACCCCTCTCTGCTGGAGCAGACAGCCAAGCCAAGCCGAGGGCTGGAAAGCCATGCTGGGGGACTATGATTTAACTTGAACCAAGAAGGGGTCTGGGACAGAAGTTTCATAAATCAGTTTGACCCAAATCAGTTAAGTCGGGTACTACATTCAACCAGGTTTATTTTAAAAAACGGTTTATGTGCACTGAACTGCTGTTCTGTTACAGGTTTAAACCAGTTTCTGTTCACTTAAACCGGTTTATGTGTAACTTCTGTCCCTATGAAGTTTGCAGTTCTCCAAGAAATGTAAATTTCTTAGACTCAAGGAACGAAAGAGAAAAGGGCTTTCATTGAATCTAGGGGAGAGAGGCATTATACTAAATTATGGTCTGATCCTGCTCCTTAATGAATATGGTGGGAGTTTCACCATTTGCTTGAAAAGAAACAGGACTGGTCCTTAATGAGGTATTTTCAAGTCATCTAATCTACAAGGAGGAAGGTCAAAATGTTGTGAAGAGAAGTATGTTGAAAAGTAATCTTGCTAGATATATTCTGGGTTTTCTAAATTAGGGGAATTTGCACAGATGTGCACAAGAGCAAGCTCATAATGTAGACCAGGACAAAAGAGAGCTTGCATTTGGGCAGTACATCTACATTAGATGTTAAATACGTGTAACAGTATCAATGTAACTCTCCCTAGTTTAGCTAGCCCCTCAGTTCCTCCCGCCTTCTCTTCTTGAGTACAGATGGAGACTACCAAAGTCTGATGCAAAGACTACTGAAATTAGTGGGAGTCTTTCCAGTGACTTCACTAAGCTTTGGATCAGGCCTCCATCATCCTTCAAGTTGCCTTTTGAATCAAAGTGTATCAGGCAGGTAAGGTTTCAAGATCAAGCAAGATAGAGTCTACTCATATTTCTCAGCTTGTAATTGGCATCATGCTTAGTGACAGCAAATACTGTATTTATAGTCTACAACTGTCCTGGTTCCAAAGCGCATGCAAAATGGTAGGATTCATTTCCTTCTCTTAAGCCAAAATACAGAGCCCTTGGCTGTGCTACCATTTTCTTTCACCTATATATTAACACTAGCGGCAGCAAGTGGCATTTGTATAGGAACCCTACAGGCATTATTTTAACTCTCTCTCTCATCATTTTAATCACTGTTTTGTGCAGGCCTTATCAGAGCAGGTTTAAAAAGACCTGAATCACATGATATACAGTGCAGCTCAGAATGTTGCTAAGGTTAGGTCTACACTATAGACTTCTGCTGACACACTTATGTCAATTGGGATGGTAAAGAGTTGTGATCCCCAAGCTGACTTACATGTATAGTCGGTTAAGGTGCAGTGACACCAAGAACACTGTGGATTTGCCAACACAGCTTGGTTGCCTGGGAGAATAGTGGCCTTTCTATGCCAGTATAAACTGCAGTTTTGCCAGTGTAGTTGCATCCATTTTTGGTGGTATAGCATACCACTACTCCTATACTTGTAAAAAACCTTCTAGTCTAAGCATGGACTGTAGAGTGTCACAGCTGGGCAATCTGAACCAGAGCTTTTGGTGCCCAATTGCTTTAAGTGAGGTTATAAAATCTTTGTCCTTGTTAGACTATTCACACCTTTATGTAATTTTTTATAGCATGTGCTTTTCAGCACCAAGCACAGTGAGGCTCTAACACTGCCCGGGGCCCTAGAAACCAATGTAAAACAGGTTTGGTGGGAGGTCTCCTCTGTTTTAACTTTACCCAAAGCCTGCTGTAGAGCAACACCAGCTTCATTAAAGGGTCTTGACTTCATTTGGAAGACGCAAACAGAATTAATATACAGCAAAGCTGGAACTAATGGGAAAGTACTCTGGGAGATCCTGTTACTGAGATTAAACAACTGTGAACAATTGCATTTACACTTTAGAATAATGTGCCAAGAGTGCAACAAGAAATGTACTGGATTCATCAGAAGGGGCACAGCACTTTTCAATAATTTTCTGCGTAAAACACTATTTGTTCATGATATGTAACATCATTAGCTAGAGCCACCATGGACAACTACACAGCTGTCTGACCACATAGCTCAGTTCTGATCTCCGTCATACAGTCCTAGGCCCACATATACTTCTGTCATAGCCTGATGCAAAGTCACTAGGTTTTGCATGCAGTCCTCAGAGCACATACCTCAGTCCTTCTGAGCAGCAATCTGGCTAAATTCTGGATCTCTTCCAAGTTGTTTGCTTAAAGGTAGTATCAGTAATGGTGCTGAATTGTACCAACAGCATAGGGTGGCTTTATGACACAAGGCTAGATTTGAGGTCACCAAACTAATTTTCATTTCTGACCTAAAACAGGGTTTAAACTTAAGTCCTCAGAAGTGAATGAATGGTAGATTCACATGTTGTTCCAACAGTTACATGTTCATCGTATTTATTAGTATACTCTCCATGTTTCTGCACCAACCACCTCCACCCTCTCCAGAACCTCTTTGTACGTGAGGTATTGCATCTTTCCCATTGAGGAAGAAAATAAACCACTTCATAAATCAGTGTTTCTATCCCATCTAAGGTGGTCAAGTCTCTAAGAATCTTTCCTGACCTTTTCTCAGTGCGCTCCCCAGAGAAGTCTGAAATAACAGACTTTGCTTGGCAGCTAGATGATCCAGGGATGGAAGTGATATTTTACTCACTGTTTTACAAGATTAATATTCCCAGTAAGGAAATAATTAAGGTTACAGGTCCTTCCAAGACTCAAAAGGGCAAAGAATAAGCTGGCGGATTAACTGTGTAATGAATGAAGTGTAATGTGCAATTATCTTTGATTTCTCAATACAGGCTTTTGGCTACTTACAGCATCGTCATTCACAATGCCTGGTGGGCACGCACCCAGTCACATGACATTTTGTCAACATTTGTCACGAGATTTCATCACGTGACACTGTGGGAACCCCCTATGTGCAATATCTACTAAGGTGGCTTTTTATTGTGACAAAATGCAATGGCTGCAGATAAAATGTCAAGCAGGATCACCAGGTAGAACTGAGGAAAGGTCACACAAGCAAGCAGGTGCCATGAAAGGGCATATCAAATTCCCTCTGCACACCAATTGTGTTAGTAAATAAAGGTCCTAGCTATGGCAACTCAGCACTTAAGGAATGGATTATACCTTCCCTAAATAATTCCAGAGAACACCCTGTTCTGATTTGAATTGGAAAATGACTAGAAGCAACAGCATTAGAGATATTAATTCACACTGATTAAATTAATTTGGAAACCTAGAATGGAAATGGAAAATTGCTGGTTATCATGAGTGACCAAATTAATCCCTAGCATGAGCAGAAACAGCTGTGCGACTTCAGTAGAAGCACTTATATTACGTCTCTGTTTGGACTCACATATCCATATTAAACCAAAACAGAGCACAACTCAGCACAGCTGATGTCAGAGGGCCAGATCTAGGAGGGCCATGTGCTCGTGGCTCAGGACTAGAACTGTGGCAGAAGGGAAGGATGGGAAAGGAGCACTTGACAGAACAGAATCTTAAATCATAATAGTAAGGATGCTGCAGATGGAGATTATAGTGCGCTGGCAGAGCCATGTGATGGTTTAGGACTAAAATGCAAGGGATACAGCCCTGACTTGAGGTGCACCAACAAACTTGAGTCAAGGAAAGCCATTTCTCTTGCTTATGCAACATAGAGCAGCAGGCACACTCAAATGCGTGTCTACGTGATGCATGGAAGGAGTGAGTCTCTTATAGCTATGTCTGATATGCTCACAGTAGATATTATAGGTTCCTAGGATAGATGCATCAAAAATAAGTCAACCAAACTAATCAAATAGCGTATACAGGACCTCCCACTATTCATGTACCCTTATCCTCACTGAGTCGTAATTATTATGCTAGTCTTAACAATGAAGAGCCAAGGCAAATGCTAGATTAAGTGACTTGCCCAAGGTCACGTTGGAATACAGGCCGAGACAAGGACTGCAGGATCTGTTAAAATACTAAAGGGTTTCTCTTACTCTCTTCTTTTTCTACAGGGAACGCCTCCCTGCCTTCTTTTTCAAATTCCAGTTCAAGAATGTGGAATATAGCTCAGGCAGGAACAAGACCTTTTTATGTTATATTGTAGAAACCCAAGGCAAAGAGTCAGGGACCATTCGGGGTTACCTGGAGGATGAGCATGCAGCAGCCCATGCTGAAGATGCTTTCTTTAATACCATCTTGCCTGAATGTGAATCCAGCCTGCGCTACAACGTCACCTGGTACGTCTCCTCCAGCCCCTGTGTGGCCTGTGCAGAGCGAATAGCTGAGATTCTGAAGAAGAACAAAAACCTGCGCCTCACTATCCTGGTGAGCCGTCTCTTCATGTGGGAGGAGCCTGAGATGCAGGCTGTCCTGAAGAAAATGAAGGCAGCTGGATGCAAGCTGAGGATTATGAAGCCTCAAGACTTTGAATATGTTTGGCAGAACTTTGTGGAGCAGGAGGAAGGAGAATCAAAGGACTTCGTACCCTGGGAGGACATTCAAGAGAACTTCCTGTATTATGAGGAGAAGTTGGCTGAGGTTCTGCACTGAGGCTCACGTGAGTGAAGGTTTCCATTTGCTCATCTACCTTTTTGTTGCCTCTGGGTTTTTAAGGCACAAATAGAAAGGTACTATTGCTCCCCTCTGTGCTCAGCTAGGGATGCCAGTACTAAGCATCAGGATGATCTCCCCAGCAGTACCCTGCCCCCTTCCATACTCTCCTGTACAGCAGGGCCAGGCAAGTTCTGAGGAGAAGACCCAGGCCTCCAAAAATACCTGTAGGAATACACTCACTCTTCACAGAGAAACAAAGAGAAAGGTCATTAGATATAAAAAGAACGTTCCATTGTTCCCCGAATGAGCAATTTTGCATGACAGATAAGAGAACTGAAGGGACAATAGGTGACTGTAATAGTTCTGTGGCCTAAACAGAACTGGTACAGCATTTCATCCCTTCTCAATACATTGTTTTGTATGAGAGAGTCTCTTTAATCAATAAAACATTTGAAGCTGGTAACCTCCGTCTCTCTCTCCCCACAGGGCCAGTTTGCAAGAGATCTGTTACCCAATGAAGAGACAAGCATGACAGACTTGGACATCTGGGACACTCCTTCAGCTTTCCCCATCTAGCAGGATGCAACACAAACCTCTAGCAGACATGGCCCTGATGGACTAAAATATATATTTATCATGCAGCATTTTTTGGTGTTTGGGGTTTTTTAATGTAATCCTGCATTGTTTCTGTTAACAGGAGAGAGAGAGAAATGTGCCATGGTTAGAGACAGAAATGAAATGGACTTCAATGGAATTTGTAAAACACAAGGCAGGCCCCAGACAATAGAAGAGCTTTAGCGTAAAAGAAAATTTAGATAAGAGCAAGGCTGCAAATTAGATAAGCATATTTGGCAAGTGTATATTTTATAAATAGTGATTTTTTTAAAAGAGAAAACCAGCAATGCAATTAAAAGAAAACAAAGCATTATTTATTCTTTTCCTTTGTATAACTAAAATCATGGCCCAACTTGGCAGCTAACTGGTCTAGTCTGGCACAGGCAATATGATGGACTCTCCAAGTAGCATAAGCATGTTGAAAACATCATGTATCTTCTCCCTTTGGCTGCCAACATATTCATGCTACAAAACTGGGAAGGGGCAAAAGGAGTTTAATACAAAAGTAGCCATGACTGCACTTCACAGTATCGGTCATTTCTCCCCTTCCCACACAGACTAAATTAAATCTAACAGGTAAGATTATAGCCTGACATCCTACCCATGCAACTGTTTCACATTTCAGAGTGGGACACAATAGTACGTAAGACTCTACCTGTCCTAACCAGTTGAGAGTCTACATGGGTGAAGAAGTAGAGAGAAAAATGTGGGGGTGTAAGAAATATGGAGAATAGACAGAAAGCACATGATGAGACTGCTCAGCCAAAAAATTGAATCCGATAAGGTTTGCTCCTTTAATCAGTAACATTTGTTTCTAACCTACTGTTATGGGATTTGTGGCATTGACACAAACTGTACCACACAGTATCACAAGGAACAACTGACTCAGGTGCTAAAAGACTGTAAGATGAGCATAGTCTTACCTGTTGTCCCATCAGATGTTATTGCTATGCAGAAATGCTGAATATAGTTGCTGTGGATTTACTGTATGTTTAGTACCAGATTTCATTTATTTATGCACATTTTGGTGCCTATCTATACATTCTTTGATTCGGTATTCCAAACACTGCCCATTGATCCAAGTCAATCTTTTTTAGATATTTGTACACTTAGCTACTTTTGTTGAATAACTACTGTCCTTCTACAAGAAGATAGCAGGTGGTCAGATACACACACGAGTTTTAAATTTAAGGAACAGAAAAACATTTTCTACTGATCTCACTAGGCTACCTGTATTAGTTCTTGTGGATTAAATTAGGAAGTTCTGAGATAATGACAGAGCACTTCAGTATAAGACTCCAAGTTCATGATAAGTACTGCAGAGGGAGACCTAGTAAGTTATTGCAGGAACAAAAATTTTAAAACTGAAGTTTACTAATCAATAGTTGTGTTATGGTGGTCTACTGGATTACATATGCTATTCATTAGGCATTTGCTCACTGCAGCTTAACAAGAACAAATGTAAAAACAGATCAATCCTTACATACTGCCACAGTTAGAACTCCATAAAAACTTTCGGTAAGAAAAACAACTGAAGAAAACTACAACTACACCTTTACATTTGACACTTATCCATTCCTTCCCAGGCACTGGTGCACGGATTACTGTACCAACTAGTACTACCTAATACCTTTGTTCCACACACAAACTATGTTTTCTTTAAACATTCAGGCTTCTCTAAAATGTAGTTAAAAGAAAGGTAAACACAGGCATGGGTTACAACACGGGGATTACACCCTGGTCTCAAAAGTAGAAAAGCAAGGCTTGAGAGTATGATGTTGAAGAGGCATACATCTGGAAAAGCATGAAACATCGCTTCTGTTTGAAAGAATACTTTAATTTTAATCATTCAACAGACAAAGGAAAACAAGCCTCATTGATGACATGAACACTGTAAAACTTTAAATCAAAACGACAGGGCTACATAACTCTTCACCTACCCATTCTGTAAAACAGAGTAAAATACATACAAACTCAGGTTCAAAGACCCAAAATATTAAGAATGCCAAAAGATGTTATACAGCTACATACAATAACCATTTTCAATAGTGTTTAGCAGATGGGGCAACGGAGGAACAGTGACATCAGGTGACTCACTGTGCAACTCGCAGGTGAGAATCCCTGAGGGATATACATGACCCTGAAGATTAATATTAAATGCTTTACTTCTTCACTGGAAGTCTGCACGCCATATTCCACACTAGCTGTTTTCAGAGAATAGCTACCTTCCATTGGAAAACATGAACCCAACAATGAGTTATACCTGGAAAGGGAGGACTGGGCTGTGCCTCATATGCAGCCATTCCTCATCCATCAATTAACAAATCACCTCTCCCCAAAACAGGAGAAATAAGACAACCATCCCCATAAAGGCCCCTTTGTTCAGAGGGTGTAAACTGTGATCTTTATGTCCGTGTCCTCGAATACTTCTCCAAGTATCGCTGAAACCTTACTCCATTCCAGGCGGTCAAGTCCACATCCAATCCTGGAAAATAAGGGCAGCAAACAGGCTGTGATGAGCTGCTTCTGACTGTAGTAGAGCTCACAAGCAGACACAAAAAGATGATCAAAAGGCAACTTAATTACACTGTCTAAAAATTGTCATGAGAAAAATACCAGATGCTAAAGGGCTCTTTCCTCCACAAGAGAAAGGATTAACAAAACCCAATGGAACTTCAATATTTGCTCCTGATTTCTAACTTGAATCTGTGTGTTTTTAACAGAGGACGATTAACTACTAGAATAAACTGCTCTAAGAGAAGCAGTGAATTTTCCATCTTTTTGAAGTCTTCAAATCAAGACTGGATGCCTTTCTAGTAGGTATATTTTAGTCAATTAGTTATAAGGCTCAATACAGGTAGCAGGATGGTCAGTGTTATACAAAAGTCAGAACAGATGCTCTAATGGTCCCTTTTGGTCTTCTATGACAAAAAAGGTATAATTTCACTCTCTCTCATTGTCTAATGGGAAGGAAAAAAATGTAACTTCTCTCAAATGAACTGAAGAAATTAAAGATATAGTCCATGCATTTCTCTGCAGTATTTTTCAGGCAGCAAATTACAACAGGGTTGACAGAGCAACAATAACATGCAACCACAACTTAACAGTGTAAATCAACAGCATTGCTCAAGACTACATCAATGCAAATGATTACGAGGTATCTTTGAAAGTGAGATCATCCAAAACTGATCTAGAGGAGAAAGATGTGGTTCTAGAACTAGTGAGATGAACAAAAAGCACAATGATATTTGTCTTGTGGCCTAGACTCATCCAGCTGATGGAACAGAACTCTGGTTTAAGGATACTACAAAAATCACATTCTGCATGGCATCTTTATATAGAGATAAAATAAACCCCAACACCCCCCACCAAACTTAAGACACAGCATGTAGTCTCCAAAAAGTAGTCGTCTTCAGCTATTGCTACCTGGTGTAGCTAGAAAGGAAAAGAGTTCTAAGACAAGATGTCTCAAATCAGCATGCATTGTCCTACATCCTCCACAAGTGGAAGCCATCACTAAAATCAATGTCAATTCTGTTCACTACAGGCAAAAATGGGAAACTGAACTGTGGAGACAGGGAAAGGAGTCTATCTCAGGATTATTTTGTGAATTAAATTCAACCAAAGAGATTCCCAACTGAATATCAGATTGATGAATGTAATGTGGAGAACTGCCCCACCCCTTACACAGAAACATGCAATATTCTGGAGATTTCAGGCATGTGTGATGAGTGGTATTAACTACCTCACTAATAATTAAAGTATGCAGGTAAAAAAGGAGAATCCTGTCTGTTTTGCTGACCACCGAACTCAATTTATTTGGGGTCATACAGTTCAAATGAACAACCTTAACAGAACAAAGCAACTGTACTACAGCAGTCATTAAACTTTTATATCATGGTGAATAGGCACATCCTGAATATCCATTCTGCACAAGGGACAATAAAATATTTACTTTTCAGTATCTTAATCTCTTACCTAGGCATGGAAATATCAGTAACCCCATTGTTCAAACAATGAGTCTTCATGGCCTCTAAACTCTTTCGCATATTCTCATACGTTGGTTTATGGGAGACCTTCTTCTTTGTAATCTGCACAGAAATTAAAGGTCGTTGTGCGTTAGCAACAATCACACAAGTCATTTGCTTTTTGAAAAATATGCTTACATCACTAAAAGCTAAACCACAACCTGCTGACCAACCACTGCTCACTAACATACATGGCAACTCAGAGCAAACTAATCATTCCACTGCAATGTGGGCATACACTGTCATATAGACATTTAACTATACATTTAATTATTGATCACAAGACAAAACATGTCAGGGCTCTAAAGACAGCATTTCTAAAGGCAATAGCCTAGTAAAAGTTAAATGCTTTTGAGAATTTGCCTATTTCAAAATGCAATACAATCTTTCCCATTATCAAGTGTTAGGATTTTGCTCATCTGGCTCACATGTGAACACAAATATTACGTTCAACTTCCTTAGACAAGCACACAGCTTGTGTTTTAGAACAAATTATTGAAAGCAAAAACAATAATGTAACCAACAAGCGGAAAAAACGGAGTCTTCATACTAGGGAGGCTTATTCAGCACAATCTTAAAAGCCAGGAACGTGGCTATCATCTTGAAAGCATGACATGACTCAAGGAGACTTATGCTCTCTGTGAAACAGGGGGGGGTAAAGCCTTGCCCCAGGACTTGGATATTTTTCAGTTTGCTCAAAATTTGTTCAAGTATATTCTAACTGCAGGCATATGTATCCTTATTATTATAAAGAAGTTTATCAAAGCTATCAGATTAAAAATTTCAGAGACCATAGAAAAGGCACAAAAAATAAAAAAGGCAGCAACACAAACATCCCCTTCCTGCCCTGCCTGCACACCTCAGCTCGGACCAAAGAGAAAGCGAGATCATTTGTTAAACTTTGGCAAGACTCCCAAGAAGGATGCCAAGGCACTGAGACTAGTTTACTGCTCACATTTGCTCTGGCAGCTTAAGTTAGTGCAAATTGCACGGTTTAGCAATGACCAAACCTGACTTGCATTCCTTTCTTACCAAGTAGTAAATATATCGGTCACCTCTCTTCAGAACTGCTACCTCCCCAGACTTCTTTTCTAAGACAAACAGTAACAGAAGAAAGCACTGGAATTTATTGTGATTAAAGTGTTACAACTTGAAACTGGTGAACCTAGCAATACATTCTTAATTTGTAAATATTTTTTTAAAAATAAGCTATTGGTAAAAATAAACAGAGGAAGTGTTTTTACTTTTCTCTGCATGTTTACTCAATTTTACCATTTCCCGTGAATACTCAGATTCTCCTGTTATGTGGATTTTATTTTGAGTGGCTACAGGTAAAAACAAACAAACCGCACAAAAATTGACAAACGGAGTTAGAAAAACAGTAGTGTCTGAAATCTCTGCTAAAATTTTTAACCCGACTACTTTCAGCTTGATATGATCCTCAACTCCAACAATTGAGTAAAAACGCAGATCTAGCATAAAATCTGTTAGCGAGGGGGGGGGGGGGGGGGGGGGGGGGGGGGGGGGGGGGGGGGGGGGGTGGAGGAATCATAAGAGACTAAAAAAAATCCTGTGTGGATGCAGTTGCCATCTAAATCCAATCCTGCAAACACTTGTATGCAGGAATATTCCTGTTGAAGCCAGCAGGTGCTTCAAGGTAAGCATGGCCATGTTTGTAGGACTGAACCTGAAGATGTGTGTCCTTGACACCTCCCACTAAAATGCAAAAATTTTCCATTTCTGTAGCACATACCTAGAGGCAATGGCTGGAACAATCTGCACTCAAGGGGATTGGGAATGTATCATACAAGAGAACAGAGAATATCATTCTTCTGAAGATGCAATTCAGGCCCTGATCCTGCAAGTCATTCCATCTAATCAGACCTTTGTGTCCCAAAGTCACACGACTAGGAGTCACAAAGCACAAGAGACTAGTTCTGGACTTGCCATCTTTTTCTGTTGCTGTCCTCAGGTTTGTTTGGGGTTTTTTTTTTTGTTGGGGGGGGGGGGGGGAAAGGGAGAGGATTTTTATTTTACTTTTATTTTTTTTTTAAAGAGGTGGTGCTCTCAGGATGGCCCAGCCTGGTGGTTAACTATGTCTGAGTTAATAAGAGCTGTAAGTATTCCCCTTTGTCAAATCAATGAGCTCTGGACTCCGTCCTGATAGATACATTCACATTCAGGATGCACTTGAAGATTGATTCCCTCTTTTTCCCCTTTGTATTGTTCGCCCCTTTACCAGGAAAACAAATGCGAAAAAGCCTTTTGCCTTTGAACTGCTAAGGTTACGCCTGTGAAAAAACCCCAATACCATCATAAAAAAAATAAAAATAAATGAAGGCCTCAACTTTCATTATTATCATTTATACCATAATCCCTGTTTGTGATCCGGTTTATTGTACTAGGTGCTGTATTCAAAAACAGATGAGCTAAATCACTACCCCAAATAGGTCAAAGAAAATTTATGAAGATCCCATGTAGCCAGTGCTTAGTTACTGCTATGTTTGATGTTGCACAACTACTTTGCATAGGTAGGGATTACTGCTGGAGAACGACGCTATTCAAACATTGGCTGCTGCGACAAACCCTTCCCAAAAAACATCACTCACGCTGATCCAAGAGCTCTTCTACGCCACCAAACTTTTTCTTAAACAGCACGGCTATGCCAGCCCCCATGCGACAATCCTCGCTGATACAGTGAGCCAACGAGTCCGTGCTGGGGCATGAAAAGAGATCCCCCTTTGCGTACCTGATCTGAAAAACAGCAAAAACAAGTACAAGCTGAATGGAAGTAGACATTTTTGGCTAACTTTCCAGGAAGAAAAGCCTAGAAGAAAACAAGTCAATAGGAGAGCAGACACGGCACTCGGGTTGGGGCACCGCTCACATATTAAGAAGCGAAGA